TTCTCCATTCATGAGCGGCCGGTGTCAGTGATATATCACCGAAATGGATGGGGCACCGTCAACCATAATCCCGATCCGTTCGTTTTACGCTTTTCCAGCTGAACGTTGATCCATCAATAATCTTATGACCTCTTGGTTGCTCGACGCCTGTCATGCTTGGTAAAAGTGTTCCTACAACGGACTGGTGCGTGAGTAAGGGGATGAAGGGGATGGAGATCTCGCAACACTGCGATATTTGTCCCCAAGAATCACTGGAAGACTCCAGCCACCTTTGGTGGGAATGTATTGTGGCGAGAGGTTTCTGGGACTGGATCAGCAACATGTGGCATTTTGTCTATGGACCGCAGACAATTTGGATAAAGGATTTCATTATGATGGGGGGCCGGGGTCAGACCCAAGTTCTTTTCATGGCTAACAAGTTCAGAGTTGTGGGATTTTGGATTCTTTGGCTTGCAAGGAGAGAGAGAAGATTCCAGAATAAGTTTTGGTCTCCCTCTGTTCTCCGTAATAAGTTTAAATACTCAATATCAATGCTGGCAGGGGGAGGTCTTCTTAATTTTTTCAAGAAAAGGTGAGAGGAGTGGACGGTTGGATATTAAGCGTCCTACTAGTGAGGGGGCTAGCTCATAGGACGGAGTTAAGGTACAGCAGCAACGGAGATGGTAGCTTTGCTGCAGTAAGGCTTGCCGGAGTGAGGTAAAGAGGATTGATGAGGGGTTTCTGAGTCGTTTCTTAACTTTGCCTAGACTGCTGCCATGGCCTCGGTTCCTCAAACTTTTATACTTCTATGTACATTTCCATATGGGACACTGGGCCCGGTTCCCAGTACGTGCGGCTTCCCACGAATAGATTGGAGCCTTCAAGTTGTTTATTAAAAAAAAAAAAAAAAAAAAAAAAAAAAAAAAAAATCTTATTTATGAAGAGTAGAGGACACTCCATACCAATACTAGGTATATCAATATTGCAATAGCCAGAGGTAAAATGTTGTCTTGCTGGAGTACCCCCTTTAAGTGGGTATCCTTTACTGCGCAAGGCTGTTTGAAATTGATTATCTCCAACTTGAAGCATCTATGGGAGGAGGCAATAGAAGGCGTCGTTCGACACTCCTCAGGGCATCTTCGGAGCCCGAGGATGAATCCTCGGAAAAGTTTAGTTTTTTTGTCATCTTCGTTCCACTCATCCTCGGAGCATCGGTTTTAGGACTGATCCTCGGAGCAATATCAGAAAAATAAAAGGGAAAAAAAAAGAAAAAAAATTGTGCTTCAGGCTTTCAGCCAATAGGGTGCCGCCACGATCAGAATTCTCGGTTGTATCGTCTCTCTACGTGCATGCCCTCTCCTCTCCGTGAAACATGGATCCTCGGGCCGCAAAGGACCTCGTGAGGTCCTTTGGAGCCGAGGACGATTTGGCTGGGAAATCCTCGGAGCCCAAGGATTTGTCCTCGGAGTGTTTTCACATTTTTATTTCCGATTTCATCTCCGAGAACAGGTGGAACGACGACGGAATCCTCGGAATCGCGTCCCCGAGGAGTGTCGAACAACGCCCAAACTGATGGACTCGCCTGGATGTGACAGTTTTTCAACAAGTACAGTAGCCCTGTCTTCAGTCATGTACATACTAATAGTATGTGCTTTCCACTGTAGGATCAATTTTTTTCACTAGAATCAGGCGGCCCCAAGGGCTGAGAGATCCTGCAGTTCAGAGCCTCAGTATCCAAGCAACTCTACAGGTAAGGAAGACAGCCCACGGGGATGCTGCGCCTGTTTCCCAGTTTAGGAGTAGACTGCCTTAGTCCTCATAATCCTTCTAGTACTGTTATTTGGGAATGATTCTTCCCTTTTTGCTGGTTGTTGATTTTCATTATCCAGTTGACCACCCTTTTTATGCAAACGCACAAGAGGGGTTTCAGTTCCAGTTACCTCCAGGACGCTGGGCCCGGTTTGCAGCTCAGGGACGCTGGGCCCGGTTTCCAGCAAACGCACAAGAGGGGTTTCAGTCCCAGTTACCTCTGGGTTGAGATGTCTAGGGATTCCCGGCCTCATTTTGCCATTATGGAATATACTACCAAAAAAAAAAAAAAAGGAGGCCTCCTACTGATTTTCCTATAATGAGTTGCCAATTAAAAAAAAAAAAAAAAAAAAAAAGTTCTCTGGACCTGTGTGGTCCTCCAACTAATACTGCTCTTGCTCTGTGCAGAGACCACGTAGCATGTGACGTACTAGCTTCCGGACCTGCGCCATCTTTCCGACCCCTTCCTTTTTCCCGTATCTTCCCTGCACCCAGATGTGTACAGTTCGATCCCGAACCCCCCCCCCCTTACCCCCCCTCTGTCTATGTCCGATTAAAGGCACCTCGTTGGAATCTGTAAATTTCTTTTTGTTTTGATTGAAAATGCATGGGAATTTCTTGCGCCTTAGCGAGTGCACTTGGAATTTGGCTCCGTAGTTAGAAATCCTGGAATGATCGGAATGCCGCGCGACCTTCCGCGCGCGAATGATCTCGGCCTCGACCTTGAAAACTCTGAGAATTTCTGTAGGAATATGGATGGACGGAAGCTTTTTTTTCCCACGCCTGTTTTGCACGCAGATATGGTACTTTCAATTTTTTAATTAGAAAAGTATTGAGAAAAACTGCAACTGTCTTGGTGCCCATTCCCCTTTTGCCGATCGGCGCCATGCAAGCAACCTCCCTCCTCCTTCCTCCCCGCGCTCTTCTCACCGTCTTTCTTCGCGCGCGCATGCTTTCTCACTCCCTCCCCCTGTAACTGCTTTTCCCTCCCCTTCTCATCACGCGCCTTTTTCTCCTTCTTGATCATCTGAATCTTGGACCTGTTCCGCGCTATCCTTCCCGCTCTTCTTCTTCCCGATCTAAGATCTGCGCTCGAAAACCCAGTCGATCCTCTCTCCCCATCTAGCCAAAGAGAAGCGCCGTGTAAGTTCTTACTGTGCGACGATTCTCATTGGCTGAGGACGAGTTAAGGAGGATCAACATGGCTTTCGACGGACGATCACTCTCAAGTTCTCCTAAACCCACCCCTACCTC